AGGAGCGTTTCAGAAGCCGGCCACAAGAGGGGGAACAGGAAAATCCCTAAGGAAAAGCATCCGGCCTCTGCCCCCTGTTCTGTCACAGACTTTCTTGGGCAAGTCACTCAGTCTCTCTGGGTGATGTGCCTCAATTCTCCCGTCCAGGAAGTGGGGCTGGGGGCGCTTCCCGACCATGCGTGAGCCTTGGGAGAACTACACTGAAGATTAGGAAGATGCTCAGCTACTGGAGTAATGGGGCGCAGGATATTAGCACCATTGTTTGGTATGGAGTCTGTTTGGAAAGAAAACAGTTCCCTAAAGTCTGAAAACATCCGTGTTCAGAGATAACATTCTGAAATATGTCATGGAGCATAGCGGTTTTCCCCCTGTGTAGCCAGCCCCTCAACCTCGTGCCAGCCCCCGCTCTGCCCTCAATCCGGCCCTTCTTCCTTCCCCCCAACCATCAAACCCCGCCTCCCCCATGGCTCCCCTTAAACTCCAAAATCGTATCGGGAGGAAAAATAATATAGAACATTACCAAAGACTTACCACTTATAATAATAAATGATATGTTACCAATACATTAACCTTTGTGAGCTTGTACACGCTACTCTTTCTCAGACTGTGCAGTTAATACCCAATGTACCGTTATTAACAAGAAAAAAAGAGATTACTCAACAATAGACAGAGTCACTTCCTCCCTTTGGCTGTAAGTCCAGCTCCACTCTCCTTAGATTTGATGTTCCTGTGGCTCTACCTCTTTGCACCCAGTTTATCCACAAGCGAGATTTCCTCACGTAGTGGGCCCTCGCTTTTCCATTAGACACCTTTGAACTGTATTCGTCAAAACATTCAAACAGTCATTCTCTGTGTTCATTTACTTTGGGTCCTTAGTGGGTGGGCTTCTTGTTTACGGTTTTCATCTAACACAGCTTTTTGATCAATTCCCTTTTTCACCAACTATATTTCCTTTCAGTTTTTGCCCTTGATACTCTTTCTCTCTCTCTCTCTCTGGTACATCTGTAGATTTTATTTCCCTCTCATTCCCTTCTCTAATAGTGTCTGCTCACATTCACAGCTCTATTTTTTTTCTGCTTCTCCTGACTTGAAACCTTCCCTATTTTTCTTCTTTCCTCTTTTTCACTTCCCAGTCACCTACTTCTAGTCTCCAGTTCTTCTTCTATTTTATCACCTCCCTTACCTCCTACCCCAGCATTGGTTCATCTGCTAGCTCAACATCTCCATTCTTCTCTTCCTTCCCTCTTCGCTCACAGCTTTTTCCAACTGCCCCCTTTGGGCGGATTGTGAATCCCCTCTCACTGGCTGTCTCTCTCCCTGGGAACACCATTCTATGCTGCTGCCTCACAGCCACAGCAGGTGCTAGTGCCAGTGTCAGAAATAGCTACCCATTGGAAGTAGCTCCTGGCAGCAGTTTCTGGCAGTATGCGTATCAGGTAGGGCTTGTGATTAATGTGCATAAGTCTTGTCAAGTAGTGTCAGGCTAAGCAGTTTTAGGCCTCAACCTTCTGGAAGTTGTAAGAAGCGAGTACAGTTGAATCCTGCAAGCATAAGCATAATCTAGCTAGGAAGCTTTATAGACTAAAAAGGAAACTCTGTAAAGGTAGATACAGACTTGTGGTCTGCAACCAAATACCTCTTTAAGCTAACTCAAGCATTTTTTAGTCTAGAAAATTGACCACAATTAGCGGCATAGAGTAGAGATGAGATGAGCACAGGTGCACAGTTCATAAGTTCAAAACAACCGCAAATACCACACTGAAACATTTGGCCACCTTTATTGGTTGACCTGTTTTGAAACACGGCCAGCAAATACCGTATAAAAAAGGTGCAAAGACGCAAGTGTGTGTTGACCTAAAAGAGATCACTCTTTGTCAGGTTCACATACATCCCCTGAACCAAAGGCACTTGCGCTTCACTGACTATCTGTGCCTGGCCAATGCAGGAAATGATCAACTGAAGGTAATGTATCTTTGGAAGAACGCAGGGTAAGGCTTTGGAGTGAAGAGGTCTGGTTGTGCTCGAGCTAGTTAATCTTAAGTCTGTATTAATACTATAGTTTAATTATATTAGTAAATTGGTTAAGTTGTTTAAAAATAGTAGTAGTCAATAGTTAATCAATATATAGTAACTGTACATGTTTTGTGCCTTGCTGGAAGCAGGTACAGCGCTGGTGAAGCTAGTAGTTTATCAACCATAATAGCTTTACAAGTCGCTGTGCCTGTCTTCACTATAAGATCAATAAAAGTTTATAGGTTGTTATATAAGGTTATAGGTAGGTTAAGGTTAGTAAAATATAGTTAATCAATGTATTAGTATTGTATATAGAATTGTATTTGTTGAGGGTGGTTACAGTACATGTGAAGTTGCTAGGCAATCAGTAATAGTAGTGTTGCATGTGCTTGTGACTATTTTCAGTATTATTTACCTTTTATATGTGCACTTATAGGAATAGGTAGTTAATGCATAATATTACTTGTACTTGTGCTTGTCTCTAGTATAACTTGCCATTTGTATTAATCCTCACGCAGTGCTGGTCTTTAATTCTGTTTTTCTTATTCTGTCTATGTTGCCATTATGGTCGTAAGTCATTAAAAATCTTTCTTGAGGAATAATTAGTTGTTTAGTTTCTCTTTTGCGGACACTACTCAACCTCATTACATCTGTGTTGGGTGGTGGGAAGTAGCGATCACCCAGAGCCCCATTAGGGCCCTGACATGAACCCCCCTAGGGCTCTGACGTGTGCCTCCTCCTTCCATTAATCTCCACAGGGCTGTCAAGCGATTAAAAAAATTAATTGCGATTAATTGTGCTGTTAAACAACAATAGAATACCATTTATTTAAAATATTTTTGGATGTTTACTACATTTTAAAATATATGAATTTCAAATACAACACAGAATACAAAGTGTACAGTGCTCACTTTATATTTATTTTTGATTACAAATATTTGCACTGTAAAAAACAAATAAAAATATTTTTCAACTCACCTCATACAAGTACTGTAGTGCAATCTCTTTATCATGAAAGTTGAACTTACCAATGTAGAATTATGTACCAAAAAAACTGCATTCAAAAATAAAACAATGTAAAACTTTAGAGCCTACAAGTCCACTCAGTCCTACTTCTTGGGCAGCTAATCACTCAGACAAACAAGGCTAGTTATAATTTGCAGGAGATAATGCTGCCTGCTTCTTGTTTACAATGAGTGAGAACAGGCATTCACATGGCACTATTGTAGCTGGCGTTGCAAGATATTTACGTGCCAGATGCGCTAAAGATTCATATGTCCCGTCATGCTTCAACCACCATTCCAGAGGACATGCTTCCATGCTGATGACGGGTTCTGCTTAATAACGATACAAAGCAGTGCAGACTGATGCGTGTTCATTTTCATCATCTGAGTCAGATGCCACCAGCAGAAGGTTCATTTTCTTTTTTGGTGGTTTGGGTTCTGTAGTTTCCAAATCAGAGTGTTGCTCTTTCAAGACTTCTAAAAGCATGCTCCACACCTCATCCCTCTCCGATATTGGATGACATTTCAGATTCTTAATCCTTGAGTTGAATGCTGTAGCTATTTTTAGAAATCTCACATCGGTACCTTCTTCGCGTTTTGTCAAATCTGCTGTGAAAGAGTTCTTAAAACTAATATATGCTGGGTCATCATCTGAGACTGCTATAACACGAAATATATGCAGAATGCGGGTAAAACAGAGCAGGAGACATACAATTCTCCCCCCAAGGAATACAGTCACAAATTTAATTGATGCATTATTTTTTTAACAAGTATCATCAGCATGGAAGCATGTCCTCTGGAATGGTGGCCGAAGCCCGGAAGGGGCATAAGAATGTTTATCATATCTGGCATGTAAATACCTTGCAACACCGGCTACAAAAGTGCCATACGAACACCTGTTCTCACTTTCAGGTGACATTGTAAATAAGAAGCAGGCAGCAGTATCTCCCATCAATGTAAACAAACTTGTTTGTCTTAGCAACTGGCAGAATAAGAAGTAGGACTGAATGGATTTGTAGGCTCTAAAGTTTTACACTGTTTTGTTTTTGAGTGCAGTTATGTAACGAAAAAAAAAATCTGCATTTGTAAGTTACACTTTGACAATAAAGAGATTGCGATTCAGTACTTGTATGAGGTGAATTGAAAAATACTATTTCTTTTATCATTTTTACAGTGCATATATTTGTAATAAAAAATAATAATATAAAGTGAGCACTGTGCACTTTGTATTCTGTGTTGTAATTGAAATCAATATTGAAAATGTAGAAAAACGTCCAAAAATATTTAATAAATTTCAATTGGTATTCTATTGTTATAAGTGCAATTAATGACGATTAATTCTTTTGAGTTAATTGCATGAGTTAACTGGGACTAATTGACAGCCCTAGTATCAGGGTTTGTTTGCTTCGCTATCAGAATGAGCTGCCCTCCCAGCTTTCTCCCATGGGTAGCTCATTCTGACGGGTGGGGTTGCTGTAAGGTCTAACTCTGAAGTATGCATACCCCTGACAGGCTTCTTTAAATAATTTTATGATAAGATACAGTATAGATACACCAGCATATGCCTATATATTTCAACCTTAATTCAAAACCCAGCCCATACATTAATTTAAAGATAGGCACATAGAGACTAGTTTTATAGTTTATGGCTACTTGCAGCTTGGATCCCTCCTGCATGATCTCCTTAATGGTGCCCTTTTTTTAGTCTTGGGCCTCCAGCCGGAGAGAGCCCCGCCCCCTGCCCAGTCAGTGCTGCTGCATCCGGGTTGGTGCTGAGGGCACAGGAAGCGGCTGCAGCAGCTGAGAGCAGGGGCGGGACACTGGGAGGAGGGAGGCCGGAACCGGGGAGGACAAAGGCAGATCGATACTGCGCAACCCCGCCCAGGCTCAGCACTGGACGCTGCTGCCTCCGTGTGATCTGGGAGCCCGAGCTGAGCCACTGCTGCTTCCCCGGGTCCTCCTGTCCTTTCCCTGCTTCCAGCCTGCGGTGGAGGAGGGAGTTTCTCCAGCGGGAACCAGCCCCGGGCTCTGCCGACCCCAGCCCCTGTGCCGGAGACTCCAGGTGAGAGAGGCTTCGGGGACAGCGCTGGGAGCGGCAGGAAGGTGAGTCTCTAGCTCTGGGGCACTCGGAGCTCGCAACCGGGGATCTTCTTCTCGGTAACTGTTAGTGCCCTTGCGGGCAGGGTCGGAGCTGGGTTAGCCTCAGCGAAGCTGCTTCCCTGGCTCTGCACCCAGCTCCTGTCCGGGTCTGCAGGGCCATTAAAGTGGGGAGGATCGGGGCGGGGAAAGAGAGCGGGCCCCAGTGGGTTTGGAAGGGAGGAAAATAAGCCAGCGATGGGCGGGGGAAGGGAGAGAGAGGACGCAATGGAGTAAACTGAGCTTTCTCCGCAGGCAGGAAGTGCCCGGGAAGAACAGCAGGTGATGGGGGAAGGGCTCCTCTGTTCTCTCCCCCGCCCTTATCAAGTATGGCTGTAACCTCCATGCAGATCCCCCTGCTCTCGAACGACTAGGGTGACCAGATGTCCCGATTTTATAGGGACAGTCCCGATATTCAGGGCTTTGTCTTGTATAGGCTCTTATTACCCCCCATCCCGTCGTGATTTTTCACATTGGCTATCTGGTCACCCTATGCATGACTGACCCTTTAGCAGGGGTGAAAGTAACTCCAGACTTATCGGTAAGGGCCGGGCCGACTCTGGCCCCTGGAAGGGGCAGGGGCTTGGGTGGAAGGGGTGGGGCTGGGAGTCAGCATCCCCTAGCCAGCCCTTCCAGGCCGCCTGTCCCGCACGGCCCAGGGCTCCAGTGGCAATTTAAAGGGGCCGTGGTACCAGCGTCCACAGCCCTGTGCCCTTTTAAATCACCGGCCCCGGGGAAGCTGCTCCCTTTGCCCCCCCTGCCCATCGGTGGCCAAGGGGGGGGGACAAAAGGGGGAGGGACGTTAAAGTGCTGCCGGGTACTTTGCCACCGCGGCACTTTAATGTTGCTGCCCCGCCCCCGTTGGCGGCCCTGCCGGTACGGACCCTACCAGCAGGGCTGACAATGTGGGAGGCAAAAAGGGCAGAGACATTAAAACACTGCCGCGGCAGCGCTTTTAATATGGGCTGCATATGGGCAGGTGCAGGTTCTTACCGGAATGCCGTACTGGGCCCGTACCCACTTTCACCCCTGCCCTTTAGCCAATGTTGCCCCATTTTCTCTCTCCTCCTCAAACGTCAGTTTAAATTCTTACCTGAGTTGAGCTGCTTTTCCACCCATTTTATCTGCGGCACTTTGCCCTCGCTTAGGTGGGAAATTGTTGCCCTGAGTCATTCCCCAAATGGGAAGGAGGTTGGTGAGTAGTGGTGGGGAGAGCCTGAGACACGCTGCCTCTGGGGTGGGGAGAGGGTGGCCATTTTTTGCCATTAACAGGGCATGGAAGGGACACAGCAATGGAAGGCAGGAGCAAGTTTCTCCAATGGAGTATCTGCTCTGAGCTGCTGCCCCTCCCGGCCATCCACCCAATGCACCTCCCACCTTCCCCTATCTCTGTCCCCCTCCCCAGGGCCAGGGAGCCTGCCTGCTCCACACCCATCTTCAAAGCAACTTTGCAAAGGGTCCCTGCTGCCTAGGTGAACGGTGGTGAGAAACCACTACTTTTTCTGTGGTTATTGAACATCCATACACAGTCCTCTCAAACTTTCCCTCTAATTATTAAATATCCCCCAGAGCTTGGTGCTTTCCTCTCCTATTATCAGATATTTAGTTTTTAACCCTTTTTCTCCCCAATTCTCAAAGACTGAGATAAAAGTACCCTAAACTCTTTTCTCTCTCTCATTATCTATTACTAATGTATTATGCTCTGAGATTATCCTGTCTCTAATTGCAAAATGTTAACATAAAATCTGTTTTTGCTCTTTCCTTTCACTCTTGATTATTGATATAAAATCCCTGGAACTGTTTCCCCTTTTCTCTCTTTATCAAATATTGATAAGAAATTCACTCAGATTTTACCTCTTTACCTATTATCAACTATTGATATAAATACCTCACATTCTCCTACTTTCCTCTCTAACTTATGAAGATTGATCTAAAATTCCTCAGAGTTCCACCCTTTTCTCTTTAATTACTGAAAACTGATATTGAATCTCAGAGTCAGCCATTTCCACTAATTATCAATCAGGCTACGATTTAGTCACAGTTATTTTTAGTAAAAGTCATGGACAGGTCATGGGCAATACACAAAAATTCACGGGCCTTTGACCTGTCCATGACTTTTACTAAAAATACCCATGACTAAATCTTAAGGGGGTCGCTGCTGTGGGGTGTGTGTGGAGGGGTGCTGGGGTTGCTGCTGGGGAACGGTCGCCCCAGGGGGCTGTTGCTGGCGGGGGCCAGAGCCAGCCATAACAACAGCTGCCAGTGGCCGCCGGCAGCAGCTGCCCTGGGCACCGCTGCCAGAGGCCACCCGGGGAAGCAGCTACTCCAGCCGCCTGGGGACTGCCTCTGGGGGCTGCTGGCAGCGACTGCACCGGCCGCCTGGGCACCACTGCTGGCAGCGACTGCACCGGCCGCCTGGGCACCACTGCCGGGGGGCTGCCCAGGGAAGTGGCTACTCCAGCTGCCTGGGGATCGCTGCCGGCAGCGGCTGCACTGGCCTTCCGGGGACCGCTGCTCAGGCAGTCTTTGCGGCCAGCCTCGCTGGCCGCTTCTCGGGCGGTCCCCAGGACTAGGGCCTGAGCAGTGGCCGGTGTGGCTGGCCCCGGAGCCACTCCAGCAGTGGCTGGTGTGGCTGGCTGTGGGGCCGCTGGAGCAGCTGGCTGCAGAGCTGCTTCACAAGCAGCCGGTGTAGCTGTCCCCAGAGCCAGCTGCTTGAGCTGACTATATGACCAGAAGTATCCCCATCCCCCATGTGGGATTGCTTCCCCCAGCTCTGAGGTGCAGCCATCTCTGGGGTTGGTCAGTGGCCATTATTTTCCAGGGACAGGCCAGGAAATGCTTAAATATGTTGGCTCCTCCATGCCGTCCTTCTGTTAAGGAAGCATCACACAGCTGCCTGTGTGAATGGCTGGCGGGCGGGAGGTGGTAACTTTCTATCCATTTACCAAACACTAATGTGAAATCACCACAGATTTTGCTTTTCTCCCTCCATCAAAACTGCAAGAACTTCTGGTTTTGGATGGAAACTGTTGTTCAGAGCCCTTCTCTCAGATGTGGGGAGGGAGGAAGGTGGGAAAGGGGTTACCCTGTGTCACAGCTACTCGCTGTGCTGCACTGCCCAACCCATTTGGATTGTCTCTTCCAATATACACACAGACTGTTTCTTTTCCCCATGTGCATCTTTAATCTTTATATTCCCAGCACTGCAGAATACAGTACAGGCATGTGCCAGGAGGAGCCTTCCACCCAGCCCACTCTATTACACTCCACTCTCACTGAGCTTCCTGGTACATCCTGTTCCTCCCAATTAGTCTTTCCCTTATTGTGCTAATCACCTCGTTAGCCAATGATCTCACTATAACAGGTTAATTGTCTCTGGTTAAGCCAGTAATTTTCTTTGTGAGGCAATTATCTGAGAGACCAGGGTGCTATAGCTAGCCCTCCGCAGGCCCCACACAGTGATCTGCCTAAAAGGGGCCTGGCCTCCTCCCTTCTGAGCTTTGTTCCTGGTCTCATTGAGACCAATATTAATCCAGAGTCATGGCAAGGAAGGACAAGGAGTGACTCCAGATTAAAATAGGGGCAAATGAGATCCACATCCTCCCTGTGGGGAGGTGATTTCATAAGCTGCTCTCACCAGAGAGCTCTGGTTTTTGATAAAGAAGGAAAGGCTGCTCCATAAGCAAGTTAAAGAAGTATGGGCTGGATGAATGGACTATAAGGTGGATAGAAAGCTGGCTAGACCATTGGGCTCAACAGGTAGTGATCAATGGCTCCATGTCTAGTTGGCAGCCGGTATCAAGTGGAGTGCCCCAAGGGTTGGTCCTGGGGCCGTTTTTGTTCAATATCTTCATTAATAATCTGGAGGATGGCATGGATTGCACCCTCAGCAAGTTTGCAGATGACACTAAACTGGGAGGAGTGGTAGATCTGCTGGAGGGTAGGGATAGGATACAGAGAGACTTAGACAAATTAGAGGATTGGGCCAAAAGAAATCTGATGATGTCCTTGTTGAACAAGTGCGGAGTCCTGCACTTAGGACAGAAGAATCCGATGCACTGCTACAGACTAGGGTCCAAGTGGCTAGGCAGCAGTTCTGCAGAAAAGGACCTAGGGGTTACAGTGGACGAAAAGCTGGATATGAGTCATAGAATATCAGGGTTGGAAGGGACCTCAGGAGGTCATCTAGTGCAACCCCCTGCTCAAAGCAGGACCAATCCCCAGACAGATTTTTACCCCAGTTCCCTAAATGGCCCCCTCAAGGATTGAACTCACAACTCTGGGGTTAGCAGGCCAATGCTCAAACCACTGAGCTATCCCTCCCCCCTCAGTAGTGTGACCTCATTGCCAAGAAGGCTAACGGCATTTGGGGCTGTATAAGTAGGAGCATTGCCAGCAGATCGAGGGACATGATCATTCCCCTCTATTCGGCATTGGTGATGCCTCATCTGGAGTACTGTGTCCAGTTTTGGGCCCCACACTTCAAGGAGGATGTGGAAAAATTGGGAAGAGTCCAGCGGAGGGCAACAAAAATGATTAGGGGGCTGGAGCACATGACTTACGAGAAGAGGCCGAGGGAACTGGGATTATTTAGTCTGCAGAAGAGAAGAATGAGGGGGGATTTGATAGCTGCTTTCAACTACCTGAAAGGGGGTTCCAAAGAGGATGGATCTAGACTGTTCTCAGTGGTAGCAGATGACAGAACAAGGAGTAATGGTCTCAAGTTGCAGCTGGGGAGGTTTCGGTTGGATATTAGGAAAAACTTTTTCACTAGGAGGGTGGTGAAGCACTGGAATGGGTTACCTTTAGGGAGGTGGTGGAATCTCCTTCCTTAGAGGTTTTTAAGGCCTGGCTTGACAAAGCCCTGGCTGGGATGACTTAGTTGGGGATTGGTCCTGCTTTGAGCAGGGGGTTGGACTAGATGACCTCCTGAGGTCCCTTCCAACCCTGATATTCTATGATACTATCTAGCCAGTTATTACCCAATTTTTCCTTCCTAAAAGTAGTACTTTGCATGGGTCTTTACTGAAATTCATGTTGTTGATTTCAAACAAATTCTCTAATTTGTAAAGGTCATTTTGAATTCTAATCCCATCCTCTGAATTGCTTGCAACCCCCTCCCAGCTTGGTGTCATCCACAAATTTTATAATCATACTCGCCACTCCTTTATCTAAGTCTTTAATGAAAATATTGAATAGTGCCATACAGGACAGATGCCTGTGGGACCCCACTAGATATGACCTTCTAATTTGGCAGCAAACCATTGATGATAACTCTTTGAGTATGGTCTTTCAACTAGTTATGCACCCACCTTATAGTAATTTCACATTTTCCTGGTTTTCTTCTGAGAATGTTACGTGAGACTGTCAAAAGTCGCCCGTGCATGGCAGAGTCTAGAACATTTGTCTACAGGGAAAGAGCCTGGGGGGATGGAGGGGAACTTGATGTGAAATTAGCTAAATGCAGTTCTGGAATCTCCCTAGCTGCCCTTCTTTCCCTGACAGGCTGCAGAATAACATCCATGTTTTCCTCCAGATCGTCTCATCCTCCCATGGGACACGGAAAAGAAATGGCTGCTGTTGAGCCAGTCCAGGTAGGGATTTTCAGGGCGATACGGGAGGAAGAGGGACAGTAAATATTTAGGAGGTGGGAACTTCTTGGGGGTTTGGTCTAGAAAGGAACAGGAACAAGGTGTGACAAACCTGCTGGGACTAGTTTACCTTGGGCCTATATTCTAGAAACAGACCCATGGGGGCCAGAGATGGAAATTACCTCTTTTGTGGAACAGGAAACAACCCCCCTGGATAGGGCTGGGAAAACTTACCAGATTTCCAGTGCTAGAGCATGAACCTACCAGCCATAGGCTGGTAGGAGATACGAAGTCGGCACCCACCAGTGAGGCTAAGGGGAGATGCCCCATCCCCTCATATCCAGCTGCTGGAAATGGGGAGGATGTTGGGATTCGTACCATGGGGCTGTCCTTAGAGCCCCCAGCAGGATCCATCTCCTGTATGCTCTGGCTAGTAGGTGTGTGATGAATGTGAAGACCCTGCCCCCTCTGTCTGCTGGGAGGAACAAGGGGCTCTCTCTTTCTCTCCTCACCCTGATACCTCCTGGGGGTTGGACTATAGTGACTGTACCTCCCAGAGCTTCCATTTTCCTGGCCCTGCTCCCCCCCGTGACTAGGGGGCTGTCTCTGGGGCAGCAGGTACTGAGTGGGGGGCTCTTGCTCTTTCAGGGGCCGGTGACCTTCGAGGAGGTGGCTGTGTATTTCACCAAGGAGGAGTGGGCTCTGCTGGACCCTGCTCAGAGAGCCCTCTACAGAGACGTCATGCAGGAGAATTATGAGAACGTGACCTCGCTGGGTAAGGATTCCTGTCCCCTTGGTTATTAGAAGGGGAAATGAAGAGTTAAGGTTCACGTCACCACCACAATGCAACCTCAGCTCTGCCCTGTTTCAGCAACAGCCTGATGTGCCAGTAACACACATGCTAACGCTCTGCCCTCCCCGCTACAGAACACTTTGGGAACAGAGCACATGACAGGATAGCACAAAGTCTAACATCTTCTCTTTGCTAAGGGAAAACTTGGGTTCATTTCCATTGTAGCAGACAGAAGCTACCTACCCCGGGCTACAGTTAAACACCGAGCCTACTGCACACAAAGCATCTCAGATTAGCAAAATGTTACCACCCCTTTGCCCTTGCACTCAGGATTCCTTCTGAGTCATTGCCTTCACTTACTCCTCACTAAGCCCTGATGACAGTTAACATGTATGGTACCAGACTGCTGACAATCACCATGGCAAGAACATAGCTTGTGTGCCTTTACTGACACAACCTACAATAGTCAGCACTGAAATGAGGCAAACTTGGTATGTCAGGAGTCACATGCACCTCTCTTCATATCAGTCACAACTCTGCCAAGGGATCCAACTAATCCCTCTTTTAATTACAGCTACAGCTGACACAGTGCACACAGCTGGAATGCATGCAGATAAATACTGGTGTTCAACTCTGTGGAGCACAACACACATAATGATATGTTCTCTCAGTCCTTCTTTGTATCTATTGTAGATTGATAGATTTTGGGGGGAGGGATAGCTCAGTGGTTTGCGCATTGGCCTGCTAAACCCAGGGTTGTGAGTTCAATCCTTGAGGGGGCCACTTAGGGATCTGGGGCAAAATCAGTACTTGGTCCTGCTAGTGAAGGCAGGGGGCTGGACTCGATGACCTTTCGAGGTCCCTTCCAGTTCTATGAGATAGGTATATCTCAATATATATAAGGACAGGAGGGTCCTTATTAGGTCATCTAGTCTAACCTCCTGTGTAACACAGACCACAGAATTTCATCCAGTTGCTATTGTATTGCTGAATACCTTGTGTTTGGTTAAATCATCTTCCTGAAAGGCAGCCAGTCTTGGTCTGAAGACTTCAAGAGACAGAGGGTCCTCTACTTCCCTTTGTAGTTTATTAAGATTTGTACCACCTTTCCTGAACTATTCTCAGTGGCTATTGAAGCTCTAGGCCAGGGGTCCTCAACGCGGTGCCCGCGGGCGCCATGGTGCCCGCCTACTGGCCACCGAAAAAGTAGCCGCCGAGAAGCGGCAATGTCAAGAAGTGCTACTGCCGAAATGCCACCAACGGTGGCGACACCTCTTGACATTGCCGCTTCACGGCGGCATTTCGGCGGCGATGCCTCTTGATGTTGCCACTTCACGGCGGCATTTTGGCGGCTGCTTGACCGACGGCCACAGTCCTCGGCGGCTAGTCGTCCAGCACCCGCCTCACATAAAAGGTTGGGGGACCACTGCTGTAGGCTTAGGGGTGGGGGCAGAGTTAAAGTTGCATTACAGGGGTGACGTGGTTTTCAGAGGTTTAAGTTTAGCCACCATCCACATTCTGGGAGGGCATGAGACAGCATTGAACAACCTTAACTTTGCATTCATGTAGTTTATGGGCTTTTAATTTCCTTGATTTATTTTAATGGACTTTTTTTGCCACTATAACTGTGTCTACACAGAGCTTTTGTTGCCATAGTTATGTTGGCTCCCATAACCAACAGAACCATGCTGGCAAATCTTTTACATGCAGACCAGGCCAAATTTGGCATGTGGATTTTAGTGCACTTTGAAATATTGTTCTTAACCCAGAAATGTTGGTATCAGGGCAGAACCCAAGAAAGATGTGCAATACATGTCTTCAAAATGTCCCTGGTAGGGCTCATACTCAAATGCATGGGTGTAGCTTATTTTCAGTGGCCACAGCATGCTGCCTCTAGCCAAACAATTACTGTGACAGCTGATTGTTGGAAACACTCTGGCTCTTAACAGAGCCTTAGTCTTGGTGTCCATGTGCATTTCAGTTTCTTTGACTTTACAGTTTGGCTCATGCTGATCTAAAATTCCAAATTCTAGTTATTAAACTTTTTCAATACTGCTTGCCCAAAGAGGCAGTGCTAGCTGAGATAAAGACCAAGTGCCTGAGATCAGTTGGGGGACAATGAGAACCACAGTTTGAGCCCCAGGTGGGTGCAAGGAAATGTTATAAGAGCATGGTGAGTTTGTAAAAAGCTGCTTTTGGGGATAGGGGTGTATCTCAGGAACTTCTTGATCAAATAACCCCACATTTGTGTGTGGTTGCTGCTGGAGCGCAAGTACTGTTCTTGGAGCTTCAGTGTTAGCTGCAGTAGCAGACAGTGCAGCATGTTCATTCAGCAGAACTCGATGTTATTCATAAGACCACAGGCTCGGTTCAGTGGTGAAGGAACTACAGGAACACTAACCTATGTATGCCTGTGACAATTGTACTAGCTCAGTCAGTGCACCAGGACACTGCCCCCTAGGCTGGCCAAAGATGCCCCTCCTATGAAATTCTCCTTTTATACATTGATAGAAACAGTTACGTATCACACTCCTGACGTGGTTAGTTACCAGACCTACACCTGGTACCTGCTAGTTGGAACCAAACATCCTCATCCATTATCCTGTCATCCCATCCTTATCTTACAAGGGGGTTGGTGTGTCCTTGTACCATCTCTCAAGAATGTGTTTATGTGGTTACTTGGGAACTTGGGTGTTCTTCTACCATCCTCTCTGGTCAGGAATGTGCTTGCTTGGTCAGCCAGTACCTAGTGTTATTTTGCCAAGGCCAGGCCTGCTCTGGTTCCCAGCCTTTGGTTCACTGTTTGTAATTGAGGTAGGCCTTGCTGGAGCATAACTAACTCTTCCCTTCTCCGTCATAAGCAACATAATTCTAGACAATCTGAGTAGGCGTGTGGAGTTTAGAGCAAACAAAGAAATGTTGAACCTTAACTATAGCAGAGCTGGCACGTTACTATAATAACTTCCCAAGTGTGTTGAGCCTGTGACAGTCAGGTGGGCTCATCTGTTGAAAGAGACAATGCGAAGTTCCTGTTTAGGAGTCCTTGGGAGGAAATAAGGCAGAGAGCAGTGGGAGGGGAGACGATAGGGAGCTGGTGCAGGGAGGGTGAGAGTAGTGGGAGGAAGTGAGGGGTTTGGGGAGGATTAGAGAGAATCAATGAGGGTTGGGTGAGGAAAAGGGGAGACTGGGACTGCAGCTCCTGGGAAGTGGTCATGGGGTGGGCTGGGGGAATGGGAGACTTGGAATTAGGAAAAGGGGGTGGAGCTGTGGTGCTGTTGGTGGGGCACAATTGGATAGGCAGTCCAGGTTATGGGGGGCTGGGGGAACTCTGGGGTAGTTGGAACAGGAAGTGGTTGGGAAATGGTTGCTCTAGTGAGCGGGGAGGGTCTGGTGGGAAAGGGACGACGGGAAGGTTTCATGGAAAGATTTGGTGCAGTCTCCAATGACCTATTGTGATGCTTTGGCGTTCCACCCACATCAGGGAGGGTTGTCACTGCCTGCCCTGTAACCCTGGGTGTCTGCTGTGCTGCTTTGGCTCAGAGCCCTGCTACAAGCAGCATGCTTACAGTGCAACAGCTTCACTCTGGCTTCCACGAGCCTGGGTTACTCTTTGCAACGTGACCCCAACACCCCCTCCCCCCCGAGTCCTGAACATCTCCTCCACTGTCTGCCTGTAGACGGGTTTCAGAAGGGTAGCCGTGTTAGTCTGTATCAACAAAAACAATGAGGAGTCCTTGTGGCAGCTTAGAGACTAACAAATTTATTTGGGCATAAGCTTTTGTGGGCTAAAACCCACTTCATCAGATGCATGGAGTGAAAAATACAGTAGGCAGGTATAAATATTACAGCACATGAAAAGATGGGAGTTGCCTTACCAAGTGGGGGGTCAGTGCTAACATGGCCAATTCAATCAAGGTGGAAGTGGTGTTACACCCCAATGGCCCCCTCCCTCAGGGAGTCCCCGGGGAAGGCAGATCAGCATTGTATGTGGCTAACGCTGTTGCAAGCATCGCAAAGCATTTTGGGGAGGGTCAAAGGTATGTGAGTGGGGAATGGAAGATTCCTTTACAGGAGTACGAGAGGCCAAGAAAGGGCGGAGGAGAGAAAGAAGGATAGAGAATGGGTTAACTCCATGTTCCTGCTAGGCCTGAAGATAAAACGCTCAAGGCCACAGCACACATCTGACTCTCGGCTGCCAGCCAAGAACGAGGGGAGCCCGGAATGGAACAGACACAGACCTGCACAGCCAGCCCATAACAAGCGAGGCAAGTGGAGGCCAGCACAGAGGAAAACAAAGAGAACAACAGAGTTTAGCCAGTGTGTTTTGGGGAAAGTCGAGGAGACCACAGAAAGCCGGTTTGAACTGGCATATAAAGCACCAGGAACAGATGTCGCTCCAGGCAGCTTGGTAATGAAAATCTGTCACAGTTTTGGTGGAGAATGAGGGCATCGATCTCGCTATATCTCGCATTAGAAAGCATTAGAGCCCCAAGCCCTAACCTGCTTTCATACTCACACGCACTACCCCAAAGCTGGCCAGGCTTGGGTGTAACGTAAGAAGAAGGGGGCGGGAGGGATGGACGGAAGTGCTGTCCTGGGCCCAGGGCGTCCGAGAATCTGCTGTGCTCTCTGAATTGCTCCAGCTCTCAAGAGGGTTTTAGAGACGCATACAAAAACTCTCTAAATTATTAGTTGTCCCGTTACTTCAACCCATTTCTTTATCTGTTGCCTGCCTGCTTGTCTGAGCCCGATCCTTTTTCTCTTGCTCCATTGTCCCTTTCCATGGGCACAGGCTTTGTTCCGCTACCAATTTAGCAAGGAGGGTGGGCTCCTTAACTAGCCCCCACCCCTCCTGGTCCCTTTTCTTTCTGTAATCACCCCACAGGGTGCT